TGTACTGTGTGGGCCCTGATATAAATTGTCAGTTTGTCTTATTATTGCTGGCTAAAATGAATGCAGAGGTGTTAATGAATTATTTTATGTTGGGAGTAAGTGTTCCTTGAGCTTCAGAAACCAGAGTGGTGTGTATTTGCTGGACTGCTGAGAATGATAGCTCACAGTCCATTTCTCTGTCCTAGGAAAGCCCACAGACTGTCAAATCAAGACACATTATGCATGCAGCTTAACAAAAAGATAAGAGTTTATCTTGTAGCCAGGGCTGTAAGAGATGCCTCTGTCCTTGTCAGAAAGAACTGATCAAGTTCCTGATGGCAGGATGACAATGAAGGAGACACAAAGCTGGTGTTTCAATATATTCATCCTGTTCTTAGGGCACTTAAGAGTGGTGTGACCTTGGCAGGTTATTTAACCTGCGTCAGTTTCCTCAACTATGAAATCTACCTTAAGGTTGTGCTATGAGGGTTAATTTATCATCAGTGACCTATTGCTGCTTAACATTACCCCCAAATTTAGTGGCTTAAACATTTAACCATTTCTCACAGTTCTGTGGGTTGCTTGAGTGGTTCTTCTGCTAGTCTCATCTGGGCTCTGCATTCAGCTGGGAGGGTGGCTGGGGACTGAATATGATGACTGGGCCTCTCCATGTGGTCTTTTATCTTGCGCTATGTAATGGTGCTCTCAAGAGTACCAGGAAAGCAAAGGCAGTGGCTTCAAAACCTGGACTCAGTAATTCAGAGCATCACTTTCACCACATTCTTTTGGTCCAAGCAAGTCACTTGGCCGGTCTGGATTCGAAGGATGAGGAAATAGACTGCTTTTGTTGGGAGGAGCTACAAAATAATGGCCCCCTTTTCCGTCTGCCAAATAATGTATTCAAAAATATTCATTCAGTAAGCATTAGTTAAGCTTTTGAGATGCCCATCATTTGTTTTTATAATGTAAGCATGTTCTCTAATTTGGGAGTCTATTGGAAGCTTAAAAGCCTAATTTATTAAAAGATGTTTTCAACAAACATCTTTGATGGTAGGTTGAATCAGTGGTAATCTTACTGATGAAACAGGTTGTCTTTTGCAAGATTAGATAATGTAGAAAGTGGTAGGGTCGTGACCATTTATTCCACAAATATAAGTTGAATGCTTACTGTGTGCCAGGCTTCTTGGCTAAGTGCTGGCAATACCCAGTACATTTTCTGACTCACCAAGCTTACAGCCTAGAGTTGGCCCATAAGTACATAAAATTGTACATACTTACAACTACACACACACAAACTTCATAGACTTCAGTAAATCAGATTTATTGAAATTAAAGGAAAGGAAAATAACATACAGAGTATCCACAAAAGCCTTGTACAGTTTTTTTTTTTAATAAAGTCTGTATCATATCTAAATAGTTTGCAAATGTACTAGGAAAGACATTCAAGATTTGGCATATCAGAGGAATTTTTGCTTTTGACATATCTCATTTTTCTTTGGAAAAAAAGTTACACAGTTGAAGCCTGATCTAGGATGTGTGACCTGTGAAATAAGTGGGAACAAATGCTTTATTAATAATTCGATGTAATTTTCAGTTAATTCTTAGAATAATTCCTGTGAGGTAAGTAGTAGTTGGTTGGGTTGAAAGAGCTTTCCTTCTGAGACAAGTTCCTCTGCAGTAACTTAGTTGGATCAGGATTATTTCTGTTTGATATTAGGGGCAGCCACTTTTTAAGTGCTATTTTAAGTAAGTCATAAAACAGGAAAATTGTACTTGCTGTGTTTATTAATACTTATATGTTACTTTAGAGCTTACAAGGCACTTTGAATGATCTCATTCAGGTTCTCAGAGAAACTCAGATATTAGCCCACTTTTTTCAGTTGAGAAATCATGCTCACAGAGATGAATTAATTGCCTCAAATTATATGGCAAGTAAGTGTCAGAGGCAGGTACTTCAGTCCAGTACTTCAATATTGAAATTGATTGTGAAAGCCATTTCATTCTTAAGGTTTGTAAAAGGAATATTTGCTTTAGGAATAGGTTCCTTTTATGTTCTTGCTTTATCCATTGCCAGCTTTCAGCACAGCATCTCTAAAATGCACTCATTATAGTCGACATGGGTTTCTTGCAAAGAAAAAAAAATGGAGCCTGAAACTTCTGAGACTTGACAAACTGGGTGTAGAAGTGCTGCCACCTTTGTTTGGCTGCCAAGACACTACCACAAAGGACTAGATCCAGGTCCATTTATTTCATGCGAGTGGATGCAGCTGTCTTGCCATAATCAAATGCTGCTCTGTAGCCAGCTTTTTGTGGCCAGAAAAAGTAAAGTAATTTTTAGTACAGAGTTGCATAAAAATATCCACAAGATCAGTTTCAGGAAACAATTACTAGCTTAGAAGTAACAATAAGTGTGATCTATAGGTTGACTAAATGGCAGTTAATTTCCAGACCTTTTTTAAATGCCCCTTATTTCTCACCATGAATACTATATAAATAGAATACACTACCTGCCACTGTATTTAGTTTCATAAATTATTTGGACAGGGTGAACAACAGACTTCAAAACTATGTAGA